GATGTGTTGTGTTTTTTATAACTCATCTTGTATTGATATCTTTTTTCTTTAATTATTAAAATACGTACCAAATTCACATGTTCAAATGGAAGTACATGCACGGCCCATTTTCATATTGTCATATTACCGACTTTTATGAATCATGAACCATTGTGTTCATGTTACTTCTATCATAAGAACACAAATGTTATTTTTTAAGCTTGATACCAAATCTTTATATTTTTGTAAGTGTTTGCACCCGGTGTTCGTTGGGGTTATGTGTTCATATATTTTATATGATATGAACAAGAGGTGAACACGATATGAACAAGGGGTGAACAACCATATAAGATCAGAAACATATATGAACAAGGGGTGAACCTTAAACAGTGTGGATGCAATGCATGTATAAAACTCCAATTGACAAAGGATCGCTCCTGAATGTGTTTATAATGAATGAACTATTGTTCACAAACTGTTCATATCATGTTCATACATGTTTTTTTATTTATTTTCTTTCGTGTAACAGTTATTCTTATTATGTTCATATTGTGTTTATAAATGCTATGCAGTCCAAGTTCATATATATGTCAAATTTTTGTTCATATTTGACACAATGATTCATATATATATAGTTGTGTTCATATTATTCTTATATTAACAAAAATAAATTAACAAAAAAATCATAGAATTTTGATTTTGTAACTCCCAATTAATTAATGATATGGGAGTTACATAATTTTTTTTACCTAAATACCCTTTTCAACATTGTTCACTTATCTTTATGCAATTTTAAATTTAAAAAAATAAGTTTTTATCATGCTTAATCACAACCGTTTATTGAAAGATTGAATGTCTAAGATCGGTTAACAAAGTTAACACAAAAAATTTGGTTAACATTTGATCTTACCCCTATATATATATATATATATATGAGCCTAATCAAATGAGAACTGTTTAGTTTGTGATAACCGTGAGATCTAACATGAATCAATCATTCAGGATAATTATTATGATTTCTAAAATAAGTAAAAGGGTAAATTAGTAAATTGTGTTGAGTATTCAATTTACTTTAATTAGTTTAATAATCCAATTTTGAAATAGATGTTGTGTGTGTGTGTGTGTGTATTAGAATGGACGAGGTCACCACTTGTGACCCTCTTTCCCCATCGCCGGACAAAACGTGTTTCCTCTTCGGTGCGACACTTTACACTGATCCCTTGCGCAACATTGTCCAACGCCTCCTGTCTCTGCCCATCTCCGGCCAGCGACCATCATCTCCTCAACTCTTACCTTCACCGGTCTGACTCCACCCTGTTGAACAACCCAGATTGGTTTTGGTTTTTCATATCCCAAGATATCTAGTTTCTGCACACCTAGATCGGTTTCGTTTTATGGTTTTTGTTCAGATCTCATTTTAGATCGGGGACGTAATCCAAGTCTTGCCGGAGATGTAACCCAGATATCGTCGGAGATGTAACGTGGAAGATGTAAGGTTTTTGGATGTAACCTAGATCTCTTTGGAGATGTAACGTCGAGTGTAATACAGTGGTAACACAGTTGTATTAATCAACTAGATCTGGTATCATAGTGTGTATCACTAATAAGCTTCAACTTATTTGATGCTTTTAGACTTTTTCTTATTTTATTTATCTGTTTCAGTTTCCCAAAATACCACAAATTGAGTCTTTTTATTTTATTTTTGCATCTTTTTTTAATATTGGAGCTGAATTTGATGTGATAAATATGTTTACTTCTTGGGTATGTTCTAATTTTGGGAAAAATCTATGTAAATAGGTGATTTAGCAAAAGTATGCTACAGCATGTGCTGCAGGATGATTCCAGAGGCATTTTGGATAATAGTACGGAGGATCTTTTGATGTTTTATCCTCCTTTTTGACAGCGCATCACCTGCAGATTTGAAGATCTTGTAGTACAAAAAGAAAATATTCTCTTTGTACTATCTTTTGGGTGACATTGTTTTATCTTTTGGACATTGTAAAAAGTTGAATAATAGTTTTATTTTTTGGTCCTTGTGTCCCCTTTTCATGCTATATAAAGAAAGGGATACTTAGCATTTCAAGACAAGGAATTTGAGATTATAATTTGGGTATGAAAATATAGTATGGAAGTACCTTTAAATTATCTCTAAATTCAGGAAGTCTTCTTTATAATTTTTTAGCATTTATTTCTTCTACTTTCTTTTCTTGTACTTTACTTCCTATTGATATTATTTATTATTTATGCAAGTAATTTTATTTCAATTATGGTAGGCTAAAAATATAACTTGGGTGTTGGATGATGTTAAGAGAAACACCAATTCCTTTTGTAGAAAATTAAATAATGAGTCTTTCCAACTACATCATTCAAGTTTATATTGCAAAAAGTATCATCCATGGATAAGTTGATCACTTGTTTAAAAGCATTAAAGTATGTTGGATTTAGAGATAAACCAACAATCACACGTCAACTTGAATGATATGAAAGTAGACTTGACAGAGCTACTTAGAATCGAGAAGACTCGTTTCACTCCATTTAGCTTATATAAGGAATAGTTTGAGTCAATGTCGAGACTCCAGCCTTACATAGATATATGAAGGCTTAATCTATGATTGTGCGTCATTTTACATCTCGAGGGAGTACCTTAAAGAAGCTATTAGCTGTAAATACAAGTTATTTATAAAGCATGCTATAGAACCATGTTGTAGCATGTTGTCTACTTAAAAATCGGTTTAATATTATAAATCCATATACCCTAAGCTCTCTTTTATTACTTGATCACAATAGTCATGTTAAACCAACTCACCACAAATATTTCTTCAAACTCACCATCTAAAATCATATCTTTATTTAGACTTCTAATGAACTTTTATTCTTTTCCATGTGGACGATATTCGTTATTTTTACCACTCTATTACTTGTGAAAGACGATAGTGGATTGATAAGTGTATACTTGCACTAATTTCCATTTACTAACAGTCTATAGATTTATTTTATATAAATCTCGTAATAATCACAATGTATTTTTGTCGTTATACGAAGTGTATCACAAATTCACAATATATTTTGTTGTTTTACGAAGTGT